CGCAAGATACTTTATGTTAGCCTACCCCTAAGTTCGCTAGCCTTGATGCCACTCCTATTTCTGAATTTGTTTGACCCCAAAATTTGTCAATAGTCCTGAAAATACTAGATGAACAAATTCAATTTTTTGAGAACAGCACTAGGCAGAGGAGTCAAGGTTGTGGGTTCCACAAGGTGATGCCTAGAGTTCCATTCTCACTAGGTCCCAAGTTAACATTCCAAAAAAGAAAAAGATGAACCAAAAAAATAATTGGACGCATTTAAACAGAGAACTGACACTGCCCCAATTTCTCTCTCCTCAAAAAAATCCAATTTTTAGTTTTTTCTTTTCATTTTTTTTTCAGGGGGTGTTTGTTAGGTCTTAGGTCTAGAAGATGTGTGCAAAAAGTAGGAATAAACATCCTGATATTAAGAAAATAATGGTGGTGTTTTTTTTCATTTTTTTACCCCACCCATATATATTTTCCTTACATCCCCCATCTCCTAGCTGCCCGATCTGAATGGATGGCTAGGATGGCTTCATCTTCAATGCCACACTGACTGTTTGATCTAGATCTGATGTCTTAAGAGTATTTTATTTTCAATTTGTTTTCAACAAAAACATATGAATATGGAATTTGGGACGTGTTATCATCTCAATGGGGTGTATCTAAAAAACTTTTAAAAAATATTTCCAAAACATAAAATGACCAGAAACTTTCAGAGGTATTTTGGTCATTTATTTTGTTGGGAATTTGTTATTATGTTTTTTGCAGGTGCGAGTCTATTAGAGGAGTGGATGCCTCAAATTTGGTGTTAAAATGGTTTGTGTAAAAAAATTAAAATTAGAGCAATGTATAGGTGGCACTGGAATTGGGCAGTCTCAGCCGTCCATTCAGATCGGATGGCTGAGAGATGAGGGATGTAGGAAAAATATATTTGGGTAAGGAAGTGGGTAAGGAAGTATAGTAAGTTTTCCAATGCACGCACGCATCCACACATGCATGCCCCCACCAATGCAAGCGCACTCATAGACACACGCACGCATACACACAAAGACACATAGATCGATGTTGTTGAAGTACGCCACCCCACCCCGCCGCACCCCTCTAAAAGATGATGCTAGCTGTATTTGTTTAATCCCTATTTGTACACATGTCCTCTTGACCCAAAAAACATGCCCATGAAAAGAAATAAAAGGGGGAGCAAAAGTAGTTTTCTAAGCGTAGAGAATTTGGATCGATGCCAGCTATCTGTTTTGTTGCGCTAGTAGATCTAGGGCTAGATTTTCTCAAAATCAATTTTTTTCTTGGGAAGTTCTTCGTCTGGTGTTTTTAATAACATTCCCAAAGGTACAGTTAACAACATATATATAAAA